CTCCTTGTTTTTGCTTGTTGATGATGATTCAGTTGACTACAGAGATGCTCTGCTGCATAATTCACACCTGACAAAGACAAATTCAAAGTGCTTTAACTCAATAAAACCAGGCCAAGTCATTATTAACTTTTAACTCCAGAGGTAGAATGTGTAATTGAGTCGTACGTCTTGTTCTGACTTGAAATACATATGTATCACAGTATCACTTGGTTTTTTCTTTTTTGACATTGCAGCAAATAATTCATAATATAACAGTAAAATTACATCTGCATTGATCCTTTTTGGCCCACACCCAACCTGTGTGTTGTAGCATCATACTACCCCCTTCTGGAGTAAAACCTCAAATTACATCCGGTTATTGTCTCCATGACGAAAGACTGAGGAAATCCACAATAAATTCAAAATGTAATGAAATGATTTAGAAAAATGTAAACAGAGATATACATACATATATGACTAGATGTAGTTCCCACAATGTATTTTATATTAATTAAGTAAAAATGTTTAACAAACCCTGAAGTTTATCTCAACATAAACACCTGGATATTACTATAAAAGTGTAAGAATGTTATATATATTTAGTATAACAATAAATGAATGAATTACATGGTTTTTATTTGCCTTTCTTTGTCAATTTGTTAAATAATAAAGTATAAAACACACAGGTATTATTTGCTTCCCCTTCTCCAACTGACACATTTATTTGTATTATTTGCTTCCCCTTCTCCAACTGAAAATCCTTTTATTTTCATTTTTTATCGTTTTACATTATTATTATTATTATTATTATTATTATTATTATTATTATTATTATTATTATTATTATTATTATTCAGTTGGCTTCTTTATGGACTATAAAGTTTATTCTCCGTAGTTTGTTTTCAATTGTGACGTAATACATTAACGTCACCAGCGTCTCTTCAGCTCAGCCCTGTGATTGGACGAAGCCGCCAAAGTCTGCAGAGAGGGGCGGGGCCATAGTAGCCATTTTATCATTGCAGCAGCAGAGCTGCAGGTGCACCCTGGTGTTGTTTTATCTTTGTTTTTATGGTCCCGGTTTTCAACGGTCAGGGTCGAACTTTAAAATGGGTCAGTGTGGAATCACGTCGTCGAAAACCGTCCTGGTTTTTCTCAACCTGATATTCTGGGTAAGAACTGAGCTCGTGTTCGAACAATGTGCAGCATCAGTGATGGAGAATGTTATGCAGAGGCCGGACTAACTGCGCCAGAGAGGCTGCGGACATTAAACCCGGATAAAAGACACGTCTGAACTGTCCAGAAACTGCGTTTAAAATGTGTTATATTTAGTAGACGATGGTTTAAATCAACAGACGCACAGACAGACAGGCAGCCAGTGTCAGTGGGTTGGTCGCTGCAGTGTCTGTGGCTGCCGCCCACGAGCTGATGCTGTGTTGTTATGCGGCAGCTGCTCAGCCTCTGAATGTGACTCAGTGTAATTCCGTTACAAAGTTAGTGTTTTTACACCGAGCGGTGCTCCGTGAACAGACGCTCTTATTATATTTAATGACATTTCTGTTCTGAAAACAGTTCAAGAAAACGAATAATAGAAACGCGTGCATTGTGATTGGCCATAACTAACATTTTTACACTATTGATGTCATCGCTCCCACGGGCTAAAGAAGGAATGGAGGGTTTTATTTTATTAATTTCAAAAATTAAGTTCCTTGTTCTTTTTTCATTTTGATTCTTCTTCTTTTTCTTATTATTATTATTATTTAAGAATTCACAAAATCTTTTGTGAATGTCCTAGTATGTGTCCCTCCAGGGACATTCAGTGGGACAGTCCTGTGTGGGCTGGTTAATAACATTCACTCTGACCTTCTGAAGATGACTCTGTGCTGCACTGTGTTTCCAGGCATTCTTGTATTAAATAAACAATAGAATAGTATAATAAAAAATACATAAAATAAACTTTGTGTCATCACAGGCTTGACATCTTCAACTAGTGTTCTTTTCTTAGAATTTTTGATTTTTTTTCTTTTTGAACTTAATATAATATATATATATTATGTTAACACTGCATTTATTTCTCCAAAATAACTCTCATGTTTGTTCTGATGCCTCTGATACCTCATCCAGTGAAAAGTCAAACTATATAAAGGTTTACTTAAAAGAATGAAGTAATTCTAAAAATGGTTTGTTGTCTATAAAAGCAATAAAAAATGGCAAACTTAATTCTCTTAAATTATTTACTTAAAATAAATTTGTTCTCACCTGTCAACACTTAAATAAAGTGTAAAACTGCACATAAATGTTGAGTGATTAAATACAAATAATTGATGGACATTTTAATTAATTTCCATTGACAGCAGATTGATGATGCAGATTAAAAACTCAAAAATCATCTTGTCTAATTAGATGTGTTATGACACACACACACACACACACTGTGGTGTGATTGTCGTGCGTGTGTCATTGAAGAGTTCAGTGATAAAACCACGGTCTCTCACTGACTCCTGCTGCTTTTCTCTCCAGGCTGCAGCTGGAATCTTATGCTACATCGGAGCCTACGTGTTTATCACGTACGATGACTACGACCACTTCTTCGAGGACGTGTACACTCTGATTCCCGCTGTTGTAATCATAGCTGTCGGGACTCTCCTCTTCATCATCGGCCTGATCGGCTGCTGTGCAACGATACGTGAAAGCTCCTGCGGACTGGCAACCGTGAGTGTGGATACGTCTGATCTGACACTGAAGAACTGAATCTAATAATTTAATCAGCTGTGTTTTTGAACATTTACCAGATCATTGTAAACCTGAACTGTTTCTGTTTTTTTTTTCCAGTTTGCGGCCATCCTTCTGCTGGTGTTTGTGACAGAGTGTGTGGTGGTGGTGCTGGGATACATATACAGGGCAAAGGTAAACTTTTTTTTTTTTAATCCATGTCAGAGTTTCCATCCACCTGGAAGTCACAACTTTTTTAAAACCGAGATGTTTGGATGATGGAACACCAGCTGATGTGACTTTCTTCTGACCTGACTCTGGATCTTTATGTAACTGTAGTGCTGCTGATTCTTAGGTCAAAGTTGAATCTTCAGATTGTTTTCGTTCTGTGCAGGAATCACCGCGGCACAGACTCATTTCTTAGTGTAACATCTTTATCGTGGTGAATCAAAGGTTTGATTTGGTGCCTCAGTGACAATAACAATAACAGTAGCTGTAACTGTTCCAGGTGGAAGATCAGGTGAATCACTCCATTCAGAAGGTTTACAACGAGTACAACGGCACCAACAGTGACGCTCCCAGTCGGGCTATTGACTATGTTCAGAGGCAGGTGAGGAAAAAAAACAAAAACACTTTTCTTTTGTTGATTAACAATTGGAAATCTCATCTTTGATTGTCTCCAGTTTTGGAACCAACCGTGAACAGGATTTTAAATCTCTTTGTTCACAATTATGTGGTGTGTTCAGTTTACAGCATCCAGATATTTTCACCCACTGCACTCAGTGTCTGTGTTGTCCACTCTTAGCTTCACTGCTGTGGAATTCACAACTACTCTGACTGGAGGAATACACGCTGGTTCAAAGAATCCAAAAACAACAGCGTGCCAGTCAGCTGCTGTCAGCCCGGCATCAGTAACTGTACTGGAACACTGACCCGGCCGGCTGATCTGTATCAGGAGGTACACACACACACACACACACACACACACACACACACACACACACACACACACACACACACACACACACACACTTGATTGACAGATAATGACAGATAAAAGTCACATGACTTAAGGAAGTGAAATAAAGGTTGATGGTTGATATTCTGATCATGTGTTTTGTGTTCCAGGGATGTGAGGCTCTTGTTGTGAAAAAGTTAAAAGAGATCATGATGTACGTCATTTGGGCTGCGTTAACGTTTGCATCAATACAAGTAAGAAATATTATAATTTATAATGTAATGTAAATATACTCCCAAATGTTACAGATTTGTAACAGATTTGTAACAGAATCGACCCAACATTAACTTAGAGTCACAGCTATTTTTATTTTGGTTTATTATTATTATTATTTTAATAAACACAAATACAATAAAATGCATTCATTTCTATCCAAATAAAGATTTTTTAATGATCTGCAAATGACAGACCTGATCAGTAACTGTCACTGTCACAAATGGAAAAGTCATTTTTAACATAACTCAGAAGTTGAAACCAATCCCTCGGTTCGTTAGTCTCTCACTGGTCTTTAATTATTTGGGGATATGTGTCAGTTGAAGAAACCACTGATTCTTACAGAATCTTTGTCTCCACTTTGGAGAAGATCTAAATGACCTGAGTCGTTGGTGACAACTTTGTCCATCTTTGTGTCTGCAGATGCTGGGGATGCTGTGTGCCTGTGTGGTGCTGTGCAGGAGGAGTCATGATCCGGCGTATGAGCTGCTGGTCACAACCAACAGCTACGCATGAATGAGACACAGTCGGTCAGAGAAAAAAACAAAAAAAAACGAGGCGTCCCCGGACATGTCCACAGTAGAATTCCCCTTTTAGTTCGATAAGCTCAAGCACACCTTGCACAATCCATGATAAAGTAGTGCACATCCATGAAGTTGTTTTGGGTGGGGTGGGGGCTACTAGGCAAAAAAAAAACCCCAGTTATTTATTAACGGTTTCGTTTTCTTTTAAATGTCACTCTTTCTCCTTACAGACACTGAACAACCGTAGTTGGCTGTGGCTCATTGAACGCCGTGATGTTAAAGTGGTTTGTCATTCCTATTACATTTTTACCTTTTTTGTAAAACATAGGCTCTTACCCAGTGAGAATGATGAGAAGTAACTAGGAGTGTGTGTGTATGGGCTGTGTTTGCTCGTCGGTCTGTTTGCACTATGGCTCCAGCTCTGAAGGTACTGTATTCACTCATGGTTCAAATGTTTGATTCACTGTCCTCAAACCTTAGCCTGACCAATGTTTGTAAAACTGGGAGGAATTTTACCATAAAGACTAGATTTAGTGATTTTTTTTTTATGTGGAGAATTTCATTGAAGACATGTAAGATATTTACTAGTATCAAAATCATCAATATGACAAAAATGTTTCGTTTTTTTGTGAAATTCTCTGATTCTCTCTTCACTACGACAAAGTCACCCATGGTATTTCCAAACTTTTAGTCTGTAGTACTTTTAGTTTGACCAGTGTTAGTGTGTACGTGTTTGTTCAGTTTGTCACAGGCAGACATTTCCTTTTGTTTACATTTGTAGTTAGAAACTAGTATAGAAATAGAAAACGTTATTATATATGTTGGTGACTTGTGTTCTCTTTGGATTTTTTTTTTTAATTAACTCCTTTATTTAGCAAAATGCTGAAAAAAAAAACACATTTACTTGTATATATGCTGGAAAACTGAAGTGGTGGACAAATAAAATCGTACGTTTTAATGTGATTTTTGTGTCACTGCTTTTGTCCACAAGGGGATTCAAGTTAGCATTTCTAGATACAGGGGGTCTAAAAGTCTATGTCTGGAACAGCAGCCCAAAAATCCGTCCTTTTGTGGTATGTTTGAACAACTCTATGAGACCAGTGTGTTGGATTTTATACCATATTCAGGTTTAATCTTACTGTCACAAAAACATAAAGGCAGCAGAGTGTCATCCAGACATTTCCCTGAGAGAAAAGTAATGAAAACAACCCTTTTTAAGTGCCAGTGTTTTTCACCCTGTTCTTTTGTTTTCATACACAGCTTTGTAGAAGAAGGAACTCAGTCAGGCCTTAGGCTGAGCACAATCTCTAGATTCTGGCTTAAATAAAAGTACTACATGATAAACAAATTAATTTATAAAAAGTCAGATGTGACAACAATATTGGGTCTAATAAAATCATTCGCAACACTTAAAGTAACACAGTCAAACTAGAAAAGGAGATCAGACAATAATTGTGTATATTAAATAACTTTTAATTCATAATGTTTTAATTAAAATACAACCTTGAGAATTTGTACTTGGCTGTTCTTGTATTTTCTTTGATCTTCTGCAGCTACTTTAACGTGAAGCTTGCTAAAAGAATGTCTACACTATGGTCTGACTGACTGGAACAGATACAGTACGTGTACAAGTCTTGGAAGCTTTAGTTATGTGCATTTATGTTTTGCCCAGATAGTTTCCTGGCACCATTCCGACCTGCCCGTTTTTCTCCACTGACCACCAACCATCGTCTCCTCGCTCCAACACCTGGACCGTCTCCCCCTTCCTCACAGACAGCTCATCGTCTTCCTGTAAGTTAGGAGTCAAAAACAAAATATATAATACGCTGAGAGAAGTTGATGTTCCTGAAAAAAATGACCTTTAAATAAGGCAATCAGTGGCATTATTACCCGTCCCCAGAAATCATAAAGCACCAGATATCGTTCTTCATCAGCAGTAAACGTGGCCAGTGAAGTGTCTCGCTGGTGGTGTGTTAAAGGAGTGTATCCTGCCTCTGAAAGCTCAACTGAGGAGAGAAGATACAAAATACATACATGACTTTGTACTTTTATTTTTCAATTATTATAAAAAAAAGATAACAAATAATAGCATTAAAATAAATTTAGTAAGATTTAAAATCTATTTAAAAATAAAAAATCTTAACTGCAGTACTCACAGTCACCAAAAGATGTCACTGATGATGGTGAGTTCGGTGGACTCTCAGGGGACATGGCCGCCGAGTTGCGGGGACGGACTTCCGGACACCTGTGTATGTCAAGTGCGCGGATTAATGGCGCCTCGCTGGCGTAAACACCACAACAGACCTGTTCAGTGTTAACAACTGGTAGGTTTAACAACCGTATTTAATGACTTTCTACAGCAGGACTTTGTTTTTATTTTCCAAACCTCACTGTGTTGTGTCCTTCATGCGCTACATGAGCTTGGCCATTTCTTTGTGCTGTTGCGTCAGTTTTGTAGTACCTCTCAAACAAGAAGGGCCCTTAGAACAGGAAGACAGTAGTCAGAATCAAGTCCCCCAACACAGAGACATTCTCACAACATTTTCACTAATATTTTTTTTTTTATTTCCTCATGTAAGTTTGCTGCAAATATTTTACTCAAAGCTACGCTAAATGTTGTTTGTATGTTAAATGAGTAGTTTTGTAGCATTAGCCGTGTTTGCTAACTGTTTGCTCAGGACAAGCGACTTGTTGGACGTGTTTATCTGTAGCATCTCTTTAAAACATTGATAGTAGGTTGAGTTTATTTTGGACTTGAATAAATAAGTGTATTTAAATCTACCAAAGTTCCATTTAGTATGGTTACAACATCCACCAACAACAGCGGCGCATCTGAGTAGCATAAACATTGTTAGCATAAAGCTAGTCCGTTCACAAATAATAGCAGTTTCACTACAGTACAAAGCTAATTTTACCGCGATGCTTGATGTCTAAAGATATTAAACTTTCACTTCCTTTACGTAAGAGCTGTTTTATGATGTGTTGTGGTATTTCTGCGTAGTTGGCATTCAGTTACTGCTTGTGTGGTCTTGGCTAAAAACCAACTTGTATTTGTGAAGAAGAGAAGAAGCTAGGTCAGTATAACATGAAGCTCACCGTGAGGCCTGGATCCTGTGCTTTTGGTCTCCATGAAAAAGTTGTTGTCTATGGTGATATCACAAAGTTCCAGATGTTTCCTCACGTCCTCGTAAAACTGTGGTTTTTAGAAAGGAGATAAAAATTATTACCATTTCATTTATAATTACTGGGGTTGTTGTGGTTTCGTAAAACAGTACTTTGTACTCTGTGTATTTCTGTGTACCATACACATATACATTCTGGACTTCTATCTTTTCTACCGTTTCACCTCATCATCCTTGATACACTGCAGAGAGAAGTGGTTGCAGTGGTCCCACAGAGCACACCTGAGCATGCCGATGCGATCTTCCTCCATTTGTTGAAACACCTATTAAACAGTTCCCACTGTTATTATTAAAGCAAGTCAGGATAAAAGTTAGGTTTTCTCTTGTGAGGTCCTTCATGTTTTATGAAAGTTTGCTTTATTTTAATCTTTAAGGATTAAAGATTAAAATGCTTAAAGTGTGGAGTATCACAAAGAAGGAGCTTGAGTATTTGACGTAAATAACTTTAGTGAATGAGAAGGTTCTTTTTTTTCTTTTTTTTCGATCATTTGTGCACATAGTGAGTTTGAGTTTTACCTCACATGTACTTCTGTGTGTTCCCTCCCAGTCCTGGCGAACACTTTCGAGTTGAACGGTGTTGTTTAAGAACAGGTTCTCTGTAAGAGACGAGAGACACAAACTGAACGTTGTACTTGATTGTCTTGACTTATGTGAGGCTCAGGGTCTCACCTGCTTCGTTGGCTGCCTGTCTGCAGGTCCTGGCCTTTTGGCGTGTCTATGAAAAGTTGACACAGGAAGTGACATTTGTTTTACAAACTGAGAAGGCTTTTTTAGATGATAGAAAATGCTTTGTTGTGTTTCTCAGATGCTCAGTAGTTCAATAATTGTCCTGTTGTGTAACCTGCTTCAGTGACCAGCTTTCTTTTTCACTTTCTTTAATTTCTGTTTCTTCAGTACATTTAATGACATTGTTGAATCTTTCAGTAACACTTGTGTGTACATGTGCATGCCTTTATGTCTTTATACGTAGAGTATTTACTCCACAGTCAAGACTGAAATCAGTGGCATCATCTCGACAAATTGACCTACATTACGTTTGTCATACCTTTTCTATGTTTTTGGATGTCACGATTGCCTCTTCGGCTTCATCTGCCTCTTTGCATCTCAGCTCATAGTTCCTCTTTGACTGATGAAAACAGAAACAGGAAGCCAAGGCATCACAGTGAGAAAATTATGGATGTTTAGCAATATCTATGAAGAACAAAAAAAAAAAAATCTTACATCTGTGGTTTTCTTGAATAAAGTAACCTTTTGCTTCTGAACCTTTTCCATGATGCTTTCAAACTATGAGAGAAATGAAGTGAACCGCTTTGGGTCAGATGTTTGTATTGTAGCTTTTCTTTTTTAAATACAGTGGTCTTAAGAGCTCCTAATATACAGTAAAGCTGGAGTAAAGTGGCAGACGTTGTCCATCGACCGTGTATCTACGTTGATTACCTTCTTCCTGTGCTCTCTCTGGCGTTCTCGGAATGTCTCGATCTTTTTCACCTCCTCTTTCAGTATATCAGAAAGTTGGATGTGAAAGTTTCCAATGATCTCAATTCCTGCATTTTACAGGACATAGTCAACCATTTACATCTGAACATGTTCTCTGTCAGCAGCAGCATCAGCAGCAGCATCAGCATCGTTCAGTGACATGATGGTTGTTCACAGAGAAAATGACTGCGGGAACTTACGTGACTTTAATTGGTCGAACGATGTTCTTAAAGTGCTGGAAAAAATGTTTAAAAAGGTGTTTAGTGTTTATATATATATATATATATATTTACCGTGCTATTCTCATAGTTTCAATATGACCTATTTTTTTTTTTACTTGGAATATTATTTTTGAGTTTCTTCCCATTTCTTTTTAAGAAGGCACTTATTGCAAATTAACAGTTTAACTGTTACTCTGTGCTTTCCATGATGTCAAAATGTAACGGACAGTAACGGACCAGGTGTGGGCAAACGTTTCGACTTGCCGGTCACAATGGGTCCTAAAATTTGTCCGGGTTTGTAGTCAGGAGCAGAAAGATGGAGTTTTTGTGTGAACTAAAGATAAATGACGTAAAAGCCTTGCATGAAGGATAAAATGCATTTAGCCTTATCTACACCATCTCCTGGGGGAATAATGGCATTGCAGGGGAAGGCAGAAGTATAATAATAATAATATAAATTAACAATATAATTTGGAAAAGTTTGGCGGGCAGATTGAAAAGCCAAACGGGCCATATCCAGCCCCTGGGCCTGAGTTTGTCTATGCATGGACTAGTGAATGAAATAATAATAAGATCTGGAGGGACTTACTGTACTTTTTTTGTGGTAAAAGACATAAGGATAACTGGGAAAACCTGATAAACTTTCCTTTGCTTTTTTAAATTCCATATAAAAGAGATGATGATAGTATTGTCATCTTTTCCAGAAATGGGACTTGAACTAATTTTCCAACGGTCCAGAAGTCGACTGTGATGTGACAGAAACCTGTCGTTTACCTGATCTCTGTTTGTCCTCCAGCTTTGCGAGCAATCGTCACCAACTCCTTCCCGTACCTCTCCTCTGCCAGTGCCCTGTTCAATATATGAACAAACCCTTTGTTCAACGTTTGACTGAAATGCTTTGCTTTGTCCTTACAGTGTAAAACTCTTCTATTAATAAATGATTATTGTTAATAGAAATGGTAATGAAATGATTTTGTAAAACTGTGTGGTAAAACGGCTTCTCCTTTCTGAGAACCACAACACAAACAGAACTACATGGACATGTTATATCCTTTTTTTGTGTGGCAGAAAGTTGATTTCAGAAACACTGCACAGTTGGTTGTCCAACCTCATCTTTACAAGCTCCTCCACGTCTTTGCACATCTGCCTTCCATCTCGTAATCTGTGGATCAAAGCGTCGTATCCAGCATGACAAGTGAAATCAGACCCCTGTGTTTGGGGAAAACACAACAGGAATATTCTGCAATGAAAGCCGTTGCACAACCACAGTTGCACCAGGTCTTGTGGCATTTCTGGACTGAATGTGTGGCTCAAATGCAGAACTATATGTCTGCAGAAATAGTCCGTTATTGACATAGCAACTGATATATACCCCTCCCCAAACCTCCCCCATGAAGAACATTCTATTCCTATATAGAGTTGATTTGTTTGCAGCTCAAAAAAAAAAAAAAAGTATAAAACCATATAGTCCTGAGGTTGTAGTGGAGGGGAGAGAAACATTTT